CCAAAAAAAAAAAAAAACATGAATACCAAAACATGGCTTGCCGTTTATGCAATTCTGATTGTCCTAATTTTTGGACATGTCCAAGAGACAAAAGCTCAATGCAACCCAACGAAGCTGAGTCCATGTGGACCGGCTATAATGTCTAATAGCACGCCGCCATCCAGTACCTGTTGTTCCAAGTTAAAGGAACAAAAGTCTTGTCTCTGCCAGTACAAGAAGAACCCTAACCTCCAACAGTACATCAACTCCCCAAATGCCAAAAAAGTCGCTGCCGCTTGTAAAGTCCATATCCCGAAATGCTAAAACTATTAATGCTATATCTTGTATTATCATTTTATGCTACCAAGTTATCTCCCGGTTTCCCACTTCCTAAATAACGATATATGTCCCAGTTGCTACACTATAGTTTTATGTATTTCGCCTATTAATGTTTGTTCTCTGAGTACGTCTCAGTCCTTGACCATAAGTCTCAGTCACCATTTCCTGGTTTGTTCTTGGAACTTAAATTTGGTGTGCTTTGTGTTCTCCTTCATTCAATTGTTCCAAGATTTTGTCACGAGTACTTCAGAATAAAATAACATGGTTTTATTTCGCCTATTAATGTTTGATTTGATCGTTATGATTGACAGTAACCAGTGTATGATTTCATGTTTTACTATTATTTGATTTCAAGAGTTTTTACTTAAGACCTTAATTAGTAACTTGTTTGTAGCCACAATGGATAGGAGACGTAAAGATTAGAAGAACTGTGGATAATCTCACTATAAGATCGTGATAAGGTATTATAGAATTTTTTGTTGGAAATGTTTTGCAATGGGATTTGAGTATATATTATGTGAAGAAAATGCTAAGATCTTCGGAATCTAAAATGTACCTTCAGCTTTGTTGTGATCAAGAACGCCTAAACTTCGAAATCAGTTTTTAACTATCTGCTTAACTTCTATATAAGTTACCAACGGCAGATTTGAGTATATATTCTATAAAGAATACGTGTCTTGAACTAATTGCAGATTTATGAAGAATGGGATTCGAGTAATATATCTTGAACTAATTGCAGATTTTTAAATTTTATGCATCTTAAAGAGAAGTGAGGATCTATCAGTTATCACCTCCTCACATCTGATAACTGATAAATGATTTTTGCACCTTTGATAGCAGCCATTGTCTGTCATTCCAATTTCTTTTCATATTCGTTTGGACTTTCACTCCGTAATTTTGGGTGACAACATATTTATTTCAAAAATTTTGGAGAGAAATTCAAAATAAGTCCCACAGGGAGGTGACAATTTTGGTCCCGACGGATTGCAGAAAATATGAATAGTCTCACAACTTTTAGAAAATGATCAAAAGTAGGACTTTTTCGCCGGATTTACTATTTTGGAGAGAAATTCAAAATAAGTCCCACAGGGAGGTGACAATTTTGGTCCCGACGGATTGCAGAAAATATGAATAGTCTCACAACTTTTAGAAAATGATCAAAAGTAGGACTTTTTCGCCGGATTTACTATTTTCGGCCTGGAACGCCATATGGGGCACACGTGGCGCACACGTGGCGTTCCAGGCCGGAAATAGTAAATCCGGCGAAAAAATTCTACTTTTGATCATTTTTTAAAAACTTTGAGATTATTCATATTTTCTATATTTCGTCGGGACGTGGCGTTCCAGGCCGGAAATAGTAAATCCGGCGAAAAAATTCTACTTTTGATCATTTTTTAAAAACTTTGAGATTATTCATATTTTCTATATTTCGTCGGGACCAAAATTGTCACCCCTAAACATGGGGACTAGTTTTAAAATTTTCCCAAAAATTTTGCCTCATGCAAAAATAATTGGTTCCACATGTTCAATTTTGTCTTTAAACGAGAAGTGAGGGATCCAGTTTAAAATGTTCGTATTAGAAAAAATAAATTAATTAATGATGGTGGTAAAAAATAAAATAAAGAACATAAAAAAGTGGAAAAATATTGGAACTAGTGGCTTAGAGCATGCTTGGTAGGAGATATCTCAACAAATTTGAAATTTTTTAACCAATCAATTTTTTTTTAACTTAAATTCAACTCAACCTCACTACCATCAGTATTATCAATATAATTTAATAATATCAATCAATTATTCTAATGTAACATAAACTTTAACTCACTGTTCATCAAATCATATAATTTTAGCTAATCATAACTTCACATCATCTATTTCATACTTTCACATTAAATCAACTTTAGTTATTTTATTTTAAATATTATTGTAATATAAACTCAAAATTTCACTATCAACTCACTATACCACATTTTTCAAAATTAACCAAACAAAATTAAAAAATCCAAACAAAACCGAAAAATCTTACCCGGGATTTGATATCACGACTAATGCTAAGTATACTAATCNAAAAAAAAAAAAAAAAAAAAGTCGAATCCCTAATTTTCTTGTGCCAAACAAGAAAATCACGATTTTCAGCCAGCGGCCTCCCTGCTCCCGTCCGAAATCCACAACACCCAAGTCGCAGCGATCAGATCCGACCATGGCCGAAGTAAGAGATGCTCTGCCCACCCCGTCTGCTGCCCTTCTATGGGCGAGGGTCAACGGCGATTCTTGTCGCGTCCCGCCATCTATCCGACCAGGTTCGGTGTCACCGCTTTGTTATTACGTCTCATGGCTTGTGTCGATC